CACCCTAGAACCAGGGGACGGGGCTCCACCCTAGAACGAGGGGTCGGGGCTCCACCCTAGAACCAGGGGACGGGGCTCCACCCTAGAACGAGGGGGCGGGGCTCCACCCTAGAACCAGAGGACGGGGCTCCACCCTAGAACCAGGGGGCGGGGCTCCACCCTAGAACGAGGGGGCGGGGCTCCACCCTAGAACCAGGGGGCGGGGCTCTACCCTAGACTGAGGGGACGGGGCTCCATCCTAGAAGGAGGAGGCGGGGGCTCCACGCTGAAACCAGGGGGCGGGGCTCTACCCTAGGGAGAGGGGTGGGACTCCATCCTAGGCAAGGAGTCGGGGCTCCACCTTAGGGCTGTGGAGCAGAGCTCTGAGACACGGCTCCACCTTAGGGTAAGGGGGATGGGCTTGGAGCGGGACTCTGGGGACCAGGCTCCACCATAGGGCCTGGGGGCAGAGCCGGAGCGGGGCATGGGGTGGGGTTTCATCTTGGAATGAGTGGGCGGGGCTCAGGCGTAGCTGATGGTGGGTGGGGCCTCACCGACAAGCAGGACCTCTCGTCTCCAGAATGCACTGGCCCTGGTGACAGTCGATGGCGCCGTCCACGCCCGACGTACATTTGGTGACGCAGCGGAGCCGGGCCGCCTCCACCAAGGGAAAGTAGAACTCCTCATAGCCCTTGGGAGCGGCGCGGCGGCAGATAGCTAGGGGGTTGGGGAGGGGGTTGCAGAGAGACAAGGACCTCATCCATTCTATCCAGGGGCCTGATTACGGTGCCTCTGAAAATGCGCGACCAGGACTCCATTTCCTGGTGGGGTGCCGTGGGGTAGACCCTGGGATTAGATGAGGGGAGGCCAACCCCAGCACCCTCACCCTCTCCTCGTGGCCCCTGCTGTCCTCAGGTGGAAGCCAGTAAGCAGCGCAGGAAAGGCTGCCCTGGGTCACATCACTTGCCTCCGTCGAAGGCCTCTCCCTGCCCCCCAGCTTCAATGGGCAAATGTCTCTGGTGGCAGGAGTCATGGCCACGGAAGACCACTCAGCCCTTTACCCCACCCTCACCTTCCGGAGTCAGCTCTGTCCTGCTGTAGTTGTTCACCTTGATGGAGTCAGGCTTAAAGCACAGGGCTGCGGGAACACAGGCACAGAGGGAATGGGAGGGGCAGGTCAAGGGGTTAAGATCAAGGGATTAGGGCCAGAAATCAGGACAGGCACAGGGAAGGCAGCGAGGGCTCTCTCCCTCTGGAGGTGTGTGGAGGGGCCATGAAAGAAGACTCCTGTTCCCTCCCTCATCTCATCCAGGAAACGCTGAGCCTGACGCTCAGGGGCTCTCTTCCCCAGCACCCACGTCCTGGGGAGACCCTCCCTAGCCCCACCCTTGATGCTGCTGTGTGTGGACTCTTGCACCTTCTCCCAACCTGCCAGAGGTACCACAGGGCTGGCACCTGAGCCCAGAGGCCCCCTGGCTGAGCTGGAGTGGGCTAGGGTAGCGGCTCTGGCCCTGGCCCCTCCCTCCAGCCCGGGCTCACTCTGGGAGTCCTTGCAGCTGTCTGCATTTTGGCTGGCGTTCTGCAGCCCGTCCTTCAATGCAGTCTTGGCCTTCTCGTACTGGCTCTGCAGTTGCGGGCTGAAGGGCATCTCCAGCAGAACCAGGTAGTCCACCACGATGCTGCCATTCCTGAGGGGTCCGCAGCCTTAGAAAGTGCCCCATGGGCACATAGGTCCTTGGAGGGGAACCTCCAGAACGAACCGACGTGCACCAGAAGGGGAAAGGGGGCAGAGGTCATGGCATCCTTTTCAGAAGAGGCTGCCAGCATCCCTGACTTGGTCAGCCTGGGAAGGCAGGACAAGGAATGATTGACATGATAGACTTCCTCTCTCTCTCTGTTTTTTAGAGACAAGGTCTTCCCTTGTCATCCAGGCTGGAGTGCAGTGTTATAATTATAGCTCACTGCAGCCTCTAACTCCCCAGCTCAAGTGATCCTCCCACCTCAGCCTCCCAAGTATCTGAAATTACAGATATGCACTACCAAGCCTGGCTAATCATTTTATTATTACTATCATTATTGTAGAGATGGCTTCTCACTATGTTGTCTAGGCTGGTCTTGAACTGGTCTCAAGCGATCCACCCACCTAGCCCTCCCAAAGTCCTAGGATTACAAGTGTGAGCCCTGACACCCAGCCTGATGTTCTCTGTGTGTTGTATCATGCCATCGTTCACCAGGTACCCCTGGATGTACTCTCTCTTCCTCTCTCTCTTCCTCTCTCTTTCTCTCTCTAATGCTGACCCACCCAGTAGAACAGGGGCAAAGCAGAGGAAGATGAAGTCACCAATCCAGACACCACCTTCCCACATGTCCCTGTAACTTCTCTCCTTCAAGCGTGCTGAAGAAGACAGGCGCCACCCCTCCTCCAGAGAAATAGCCCCAGAAAACGATCTCAAAAAATACCCCAAGGAGTGATTCCTTGTGTACCCCCTACACCCCCCTACACCCCTCTCTTTATAAAATCTCATGATTACAAAAGCAAGGAATGGGTTCTTTCTGTGCACACATTTCCTCCACCCAACACCGCCTGCACATCCCCAGATGGGTCTCCTACCTCAGGGACAGGATCTCCACACCCTTGAAGGTGAAGCCCTGCACGTCTGCGTAAATCTTCTGCATCTGGAACACCAAGGACCCCAGGGCTCAAAGTCTTGAACCTGAGGGCTTGAGGGCACCCACACGCCCAACCTCACACCCAGGGGAGAACTTTAAATTCCCCTCCCCCTGCCCCTTACCTGATTCCAGAAGGTGTTGTTGAAATCCCTGTAGGCCTGGGAAGTGTTGTCGTTGAGGTCAGAGGAGAACTCCTGGTCGACAGACACTTCCATGGCCACGTCGGCCTCCACTGAGTCTGCACACAGCATGCATGTCCCTAGTCACTTCTCCGTCTGGTTTTGTCTGATGCCGCCACCACCACCACCACCTCCCCCCAACCCCCAGGCGCCTCCTGCTGCTCCTCTCCAAGATCCCTGAGAACTGATGCACAGAGGCAGGAACAGAGGTAGGAATTCAAGGATGCATTGTGCCTCGGGAGGCTGAGGCAGGAGAATCGCTTGAACCCAGGAGGCAAAAATTGCAGTGAGCTAAGATTGTGCCACTGCGCTCAGACCTAGGTGACAGAGCAAGACTCTGTCAAGAAAAGGAAAGAAGGAAAGAGAGAGAGAGAGATTGTGTGGAGATGAGAGGAAGCAGGCAGGAACAGAGCGGTGAGCCTGTGGTCCCTCCCAGCTACCCCCGTGGTGGGCGGGTATCTGCGTCCTAATCCCCAGAACTGTGAGTATGCTATATACCACATGGCAAGGGAGGATCAAGGTGCAGATGGAATTCAATTGCTAATCAGCCTAGCTCTTTTTTACTGCTGAGATGGGTCTCATTCTGTCATCCAGGCCAGAGCACAACAGTGTGACTGGATCACAGCTCACTGCAGCCTTGACCTCCAAGCCTCAACTGATCCTCCCACCTCAGCCTCCTGAGTAGCTGGGACCGCAGGGACATGCCACCATGCCACCATCCCAGGTAATTTTTTAAAAAATTTTTTGTAGAGATGGGGTCTCACTGTGTTGCACAGCCTGGTCTTGAACTCCTGGCCTCAAGCAATCCTCCCCCCATGGACTTCCAAAGTGCAGAGATTACAAGACAATCAGCTGATTTTTTTTTTTTTTTTTTTGAGACAGTCTCGCTCTCGCTCTGTCATCCAGCCTGGAGTGCAGTGGTGAAATCTCAGCTCACTGCAACCTCCACCTTCTGGGTTCAAGTGATCCTCCTGCCTTAGCCTCCCGAGTAGCTAGGATTACAGGTACCTACCACCATACCTGACTAACATTTGTGTTTATAATAGAGATAGAGTTTCACCATGTTGGCCAGGCTGGTCTCAAACTCCTGACCTCTGGTGATCCGCCCGCCTCTGTCTCCCAAAGTACTGGGATTACAGGCGTGAGCCACACACCTGGCCTAATCAGCTGATCTTGTAAAAATTAACATGGACAATTCAGGGAGGATCCAAAGTCCTCACAGAGTCCTTAACAGTGGAAGAAGCAATAGCGGAGCCCAGAGTCCATCAGAGTGAGATGAGGCTATGGGAGAAAGACCCAGAGGGATGCAGCCTTGCTGGCTTGGAAGATGGAGCCAGGGACCCTGTCACATGCAACATGAGAGGCTCCAGAAGCTGCAAAGGGCAAGGAAATGGATGCTTCCCTGGAGCCTCTGGAAGAGAACACAGCCCTGGTGATGCCTGGATTTCAGCCCAGTGACACCCACATGGGACTTCTGATCTACAGAATTGTAACCTGGTAATGTCGTGGTGTTTCAGCAGCCAGGTTTGTGTGTGTTGGTACAGCCGCAGTTGGAAACGGATATATATCCAAGCAACCCAAGTCAAGAAATGGGCTTAGAAGGGAATGTGGTTCCCAGCCACCTCTTAAGGATGAGGAGAGAGGAGCATGACACAGGGCAGCGGAGGGCATGGGAGAGATGGCAGGGAGGGAAGGATTGGGCAAAACGGCATGGGTGCCTCCAGGTCATACTCATGGATAAGTCTGGGGAAGTGCAGAAGGTATAGCTCTGGCGACTCACCTACATCCACCTGTTCCACAGCAAACTCACAATCGGAACCATAGAAGGTGCTGGGACACTGGCACTTGAGGCCATCCCAAGTACCCCCATTCTGGCATTTTCTCTGGTGCTGACAGCGGTCCCCAGAGAACCCCTGACGGCAAACACACTGGCCCTGTTCCCAGGTGCCACCATTGTCACAGGTGCCTAGGAAACACGGGAAGAAAAGGAAGGTCAGGATACAGACTGACCTCAGTGACACAGGAATTTTGCAGGGGAGGGAGGAGGGAGAAGAGGGAGGCAGAAGGTCCAACCTGCAGTGGTGGTCAACCTTGACTGTGTGGTCATCTGGGAAGTGACGGGAGTTGTCCTGCGTGATGTAAGGGTGGTAGGAGTCTGGGTAGTGGCCACTGGTGTCTCTGAAGTCCTGGTGGTGCGTGGGGAGGAGCGAGTTGACTTGCTTGAAGTCCTCAGGACAGTTGGAAGGCTAGTGCTTGGTTTCGTGGTCAGTGGGATGGTAGAGACTCCAGGAAGAGGTGGGGGGATCACGGAGCTGGTGCTCAGCCAGGTCTCACTGGTGGGCATTTGAGTACTTGTGAAAACTGTGTTTGTGGGTACAGTCCCAGTGCCAGTGGAACTGGAAGCATTGGTTGTGATGCTGGGCAAACTTCCTGGAGTCACAGAAGAAGTGTCCATATATGTAGGAAGGGCAGTTCGCAGACTGTTGGAGCTGGGACTGGTGACCATTTTGGTCGTAAAGGAAAAGACGGCTAATGGGGTGGTGGTGGAAGTAGCTTGAGTGCTGGGATCTATTTCAACACACGGATCAGTGGGAGAGGTGGGGACTATTGTAATTGTTATAGTTTCTGGACAGGGTGTGATGGAGGGAAGAGAAATATAAGAAAAGGGGGTTATTTTGGTGAGAGTTGTGGTCGGAGAATTGCTGGCTGGAGAAGTGCTGGTAGTTGCAGAGGAAGAGAGAGTAGGAAAGGCTGTGATAGAAGAGGAACTCACATTTTCTGTGCTGAAAATCTGTGGTGAATAAGGGGCAGAATGAGTGGTAGTGGAGACCGCTGGAGTTATGCTGGCAGAAGACGGAGAAGAGGACATTATGGTAGTGGGTGTTGAGGACCAGATGATGGTACTAAAAGGAGTCAAGATTGCATTTGTAGATGTACTTGTCCTAGTGAAAGATTCTGTAGTAGACTCACTTGGAGACATGAATGAATTTTGCACTGAGAGGGTTGAAGGAGTTGTTTTAAGGGTGGATGAATGTGTGCTAGTAACAGGCACCTCTGATGTTGACATGATTGTACTCAAGGTTGTTGATGGGGTAAGAGTATCGAGAGTGGACATGGAGGAATCCGTGCTTCCAAAGGTGAGAGTAGTGGTTACAGGAGATGTTTGTGTCCCGGTGGCAGAGGTCAGCACAGGAGGGGTATGTGTTGGGCTTTCAGGTGTAACCAGAATACTTGTACTAAGGGAACTGATTGGGGTGTTTTCAGTAATTCTGATGGTCGTTCTCACAGTGGAAATGGTGGGAGAGGGTGTGCTCACAAAGGATGAGGTTTCTGTATTTGAGATGGAGGGAGAAGACAAAATGATGTGTGTTAGGGATGGTGAGGTACTGACATCAGTGGGTGTAGAGGGAAGGTGTGTATCTGTAGTCAAGGAAGTGCTGATGCCCAAAGATGAGGGCGTAACAGTTATTAATGTTGTGGTCGGGATGTCTGTACTCCAAGAAGATGGAGTTACAGCTGTGGAGGTCACCCCAGTCTCCAAGGAAGTGGGAGTTGAGGTGGTGGCAGTTGTGGATGTGCTGGCTGTGGAGTAGATGGTCAAATAAGTGAAGCTGGAAGTACTGTGTGAGGTGGGCTCGATGGTGGGGATTGAAGAAGTGAAGCTGGGAGTACTATGTGAGGCAGTCTCAGTGGTGGTGATTGAAGAGGTAAAGCTGGGAGTACTCGGTAAGGTGGTCTCAGTGGCGAAGATTGAAGTGGTAAAGCCTAAAGTACTGTGTGAGGTGGCCTCAGTGGTGGGGTTTGAAGACGTGAAGCTGGGAGTAATATGTAAGGTGGTCTCTGTGGTGGGGATTGAAGCAGTGAAGCTGGAAATACTGTGTGAGGTGGTCTCAGTGGTGGGGATTGAAGAGGTGAAGCTGGGAGTACTGTGTAAGGTGGTCTCACTGGTGGGGATTGAAGAAGTGAAACTGGGAGTACTGTGTGAGGTGGTCTTGATGGTGGGAATTGAAGAGGTGAAGCTGGGAGTACTGTGTGAGGGGGTCTTGGTGGGGGGGATTGAAAAGGTGAAGCTAGGAGTAGTGTATACGGTGGTCTCAGTGGTTGTGATTGAAGATGTGAAGCTGGGAGTACTGTGTGAGGTTGTCTCAGTGATGGGGATTGAAGAGGTGAGGCTGGGAGTAGTTTGTAAGGTGATCTGAGTGGTGGGAATTGAAGGGGTGAAGCTGGGAGTACTGTGTGAGGTGGTCTTGGTGGTGGGGATGGAAGAGGTGAAGCTGGGAGTACTGTGTAAGGTGGTCTCAGTGGTGGGGACTGAAGAAGTGAAGCTGGGAGTACTGTGTGAGGTGGTCTTGGTGGGGGGGATTGAAGGGCTGAAGCTGGGAGTAATGTATACAGTGGTCTCAGTGGTCGTGATTGAAGATGTGAAGCTGGGAGTACTGTGTGAGGTTGTCTCAGTGATGGGGATTGAAGAGGTGAGGCTAGGAGTAGTTTGTAAGGTGATCTGAGTGGTGGGGATTGAAGGGGTGAAGCTGGGAGTACTGTGTGAGGTGGTCTCGGTGGTGGGGATTAAAGAAGTGAAGCTGGGAGTACTGAGTGAGGTGATCTCAGTGGTGGGAATTGAGGAGGTGAACCTGGATGTACTGAATGAGGTGGTCTCGGTGGTGAGGATTGAAGAGATGAAGCTGGGAGTACTGTGGGAGGTGATCTCAGTGGTGGGGATTGAAGAGGTGAAACTAAAAGTACTGTGCGAGGTCATCTCATTGGTGGAAATTGGAGATGTGAAGCTGGAAGTGCCATCTGAGGTGGTGCTGGTGGTGAGGATTGAAGAGGTAAAGCTGGGAGTACTGTGTGAGGTGGTCTTGCTGGTGATTGTTGAAGAGGTAAAGCTGGGAGTAGGGTGTGAGGTGGTCTCAGTGGTGGCGATTGAAGAGGTGAAGCTGGAAGTAATGTCTGAGGTGGTCTCAGAAGTGAAGATTGAAGAGGTGTAGATGTGAGCAGTGTGTAAGGTCGTATTGGTAGTGGGAATTAAAGAGGTGTAACTGGTAGTACTGTTTGAGGTGGTCTCGGTGGTGGTTGTTGAAGAGGTAAAGCTGGGAGTAGTGTGTGAGGTGGTCTTGGATATGGTGATTGAAGAGGTGAAGCTGGGAGAACTGTATGAGGTGGACTCAGTGGTGATGATTGAAGAGGTGTAGTTGGGGGTACTGTGTGAGGTGGTCTTGGTGGTGGGGATTGAAGAGATATAGCTTGTAGTGCTGTTTGAGGTAGTCTCCGTGGTGGTTGTTGAAGGGATAAAGCTGGGAGTAGTGTGTGAGGTGGTCTTGGTGGTGACTGAAGAGGTGAAACTGGGAGTACTGTGTGAGGTGGACTTGGTGGTGAAGATTGAAGAGGTGTAGATGGGGGTATTGTGTGAGGTGGTCTTGGTGGTGGGGATTGAAGAGGTGTAGCTGGTAGTACTGTTTGAGGTGATCTCAGTGGTGGTTGTTGAAGAGGTAAAGCTGAGAGTAGTGTGTGAGGTGGGCTCAGTGGTGGGGATGGAAGAGGTAAAGCTGAAAGTACTGTGTGAAGTGGTCTCGGTGGTGGGGATTGAAGGAGTGAAGGTGGGATAACTGTGGGAGGTGGTCTTGGTGGTGGAGATAGAAGAGGTGAAGATGGGAGTACTGTGTGAGGTGGTCTTGGTGGTGAAGTTTGAAGACGTGAAGCTGGAACTACTGTTGGAGGTGGTCTTGGTGATTGGTATTGAAGAAGTGAACCTGGGACTAGTGTGTAAGGTGGTCTCTGTGGTTGGGATTGAAGAGGTGAAGCTGGGAGTACTGCGTGAGGTGGTCTCAGTGGTGGGGATTGAAGATGTGATACTGGGAGTACTGTGTGAGGTGGTGTCAGTGGTAGGGATGGAAGAGGTGAAGCTGGGAGTAGTGTATGAGGTGGTCTCAATGGTGGGGATTGAAGAGGTAAATCTGGGAGTAGTGTGTGAGGTGTTCTCTGTTGTGGGGATTGAAAAGGTGAAGTTTAGAGTCCTGTGTGAGGTGCTTGCGGTGGTGGACATTGAAGAGGTGAAGCTGGGAGTACTGTGAAATGTCGTGTCGGTGGTATGGATTGAAGAGGGGTAGCAGGGAGTACTCTGTGTGCTGGTCTCAGTGGTGATGATCGAAGAGGTGAATCTGGGTGTAGTGTGTGAAATGGTCTCAGTTGTGGTGATTGAAGATGTGACGCTGGGAGTACAGAGTAAGGTGGTCTCGGTGGTAAAGATTGAAGAGGTAAAACGGGCAGTAGTGTGTGTGGTGGTCTTGATGGTGGTGATTGCAGAGGTGAAGCTGGACTTAGTGTGTGAGGTAGTCTCGGTGGTGGGGTTTGAAGAGGTAAAGCTGGGACTACTGTGTGAGGTGGTACCGGTGGTGGGGATTGAGGAAGTGAAACCGTAAGTACTGTGTTGGGGGGTCTTAGTGGTCGGGATTGAAGAGGTGAAGCTAGGAGTATTGTGTGAGGTGGTCTTAGTGGTGGGTATTGAAGAGGTGACGCTGGGAGTAGTGTGAGAGGTGGCCTCTATGGTGGGGATTGAAGAGGTAAAGGTGGGAGTACTGCCTGAGGTGGTCTTGGTGGTGAGGATTGAAGAAGTGAAGCTGGGAGTACTGTGTGATGTGGTCCCGGTGGTGGGGATTAAAAAGGTGAACCTGGGAGTACTGTGTGAGGTTGTCACCGTGGTGAAGATTGAAGAAGTGAAGCTAGGACGAGTGTGTGAGGTGGTCTCTGTGGTGGGGATTGGAGAGGTGAAGCTAGAAGTCTTGTGTGGGGTTGGCTGGGTGCTGAGGATTGGAGAGGTGACGCTGGGAGTAGTGTGTGGGGTGGTCTCTGTGGTGGGTTTTGAAGAGGTGAAGCTGGGAGTATTGTGTGAGGTTGTTTTGGTGGTGGAGATTGAAGAGCTAAGGCTGGAAGTAGTATGTAACGTGGTCTCTGTTTTGAAAATGGAAG